GAGAAATCTGAAAATCGTGATGTTTGTGCACTTCCTAATCCATTATTCAAATCCATAGACACTCCTAGCATTTAGAGAGAAGCCTCCTCCCTGCACCCCCTGGAGAGAATCACTCATTCAAGTGACTGATGTAAAAAATCAATCCCTTCACTCTTTTTAAAAGATGTCGTTTTTTTTATCCCCCTTCTGGCTTCCTCTGCATTCTGATAGTTGCCAACTGCAGCGGGTAAAGATATAACTTAAATAGCACGATGTGTTTATGACTATGGGATACCTTGACATTCTAAAATCCACTCTCTCCACCCCAACCCACCCCACCATTGCCACCAATGGCCTTTTAATTAAAATGCTTCTTTGGAATAAGAGAGTGCAAGTGTTAATGACAGCCTGGTTTCAGCATTACAATCTGAGGAATAAAGCTACAAATGTGTGATCACAAAGCAACTCTAAACAACCCCTGCTTTGCAAAAGGAAAAAGAGATTATTTATAAAAATCAGGTTTCTGCTTAATTAGTCTTCTCTGTGCATATAGCTCATGGGGGAGAATATGGTCAATACGATGTCATTGTCAGAGCATTCATATGCTGGCAAATCACACACACACACACACACACGCACACATGTGCATGCACAGGCATATGCACAAACAGATTTGGCAATTGCTAGGATGCTGGGTAGTGTATTTAAAGGGTTAAAAATAAAAAAAGAAAGGGGAAAAAGCAGTTACACTCCTACCTAGTCATGAAAAATACCACCTGCTAATTAATGTGAAACCAGGGAGCGTATTTCTTCCCTGTGAATTTTGAGCAAGCTGTCTGTCTCTCTCGTCACCCTCCAGCCCAGGTCCCACAAGGGAAAGGCCATGAGAACTCACCTTAGAACACACACGTGGGAAAGATCTCCTGTTTAAAGAACCTAAGGCTTTGTCTTGACTCAGTTTCTCTTCCCACTAATCTCAGTCCCTTTACCCTTACCACTCATTTTGTTAGAAAAGATTATACTTCTCTAAATAAATGCTGGACAGTCGCATGACAGTGCCCTTTCAGGCCTGCTGGCATTTCTTACCTAATTCATTTATTTATATTTTCATTAGGGTGCCCAGCTTTTGCTGGAGGAGGAGTACTGCCTTCTCGGCTAATAATATTTCCTTTTTATCCTAAGCTGCTACCCTATCTTTTTAAAATAATTAAATATCTTGCTTTTACTCCACTGACAAGCACTACCCAGAGCTGATCAGGCAGGGTAGGTGCTCTGCCTAGCTCTGGGCAACTCCTAAGGAGAGGAAAAAGCTTATATGTAATATTTATTTTCTGAGTATAGAAAATTCCATAGTTCATTCTTCATTTCACACACATGGCTTTGTTGAAATGAAACAATCATATTTTCTTGGGAAGAAAATGAAGACAGGAATAAGATTTGAATGTCATAATTATACTTGTTCAATAAAAAAGGTTCCTTTACAGTGACCTAGAGAAAACTGAAATGTAAATGTAAAGGCTGCCTGGTAGAATTAATGTGAGTATAGTGAGAATGTGTAAAATGAGGGAGTATGAGTGTAAAAATAGACATATGTACAGTCTTGTGCTTTACAACCCTCTGTGCATAATGGTGAGGTTTTTGTTGCTGTTGTCCCCTCCCCAATGTCAGCTGAATATTAATGCCAGCTTGCTTAGCTAAATAGATCCTGCGTACAAGCCTGTGTAGATGTATCATTATTTCTGTCACTAATTTTTTACAATCGGATAATTCAATGTACTCCTTTTTTTTTTAAGTGTTTCATCCACTTAACTATTATTAGTCCAACGTGAACATAGAACTTTCTCATTTTTCCATCATAATATCTTATAGCATTTCTTTTAGCATTTCATTGTGGATCTAATTCTGATCTAACAAGGGTAATTTAAGCTAACTAAAATTTAAAATATATATACATACCACACACACACAACACATACACACACACACACACACACACACACACACACAACCACCCACACACAATTCTCTGTTTTTCCATACTATCTAACTGGCTAAAAAATGACAGTTATGAACATTGTAAAACCACTTAGCTAAATTCTAACATCTTTTTGTGGTTATTTCCTTCCTATAAATTTTGCAAGATCCCCTCCTCCCTGCATTGCTCCCGTCTTCTAGGCTTATTGGGAGGTGAGCTGTTTCTTACTATTTATGTTTTCCATATTGAAGTTTATTTTATTTAAAGAAAAGAAAACCAGAATAGCAAAGACAAGGTCTTAGAGAAATGAAAGTCTAAAAAACTCTTAAATAATAATTTTAGAAATGGTTAAACAGCTAAATCTGGAAACGGTGTAGAAAATGCGCAGACTCCTACTTTGCTGATGGGAATGAAAATTGTTACAGCATATTTCTGAAGAAAAATGTGGCAATACATTATCAGTGTGTTTGCACTTGCACCCCTTGACTCAGCAATTCCTCCTCTAGGAATCAATATTAAAGCAGAAAGGGACCTTTCGGTTTACAAAGACATAGCTATCAGAATCTTATTATAGTTTAATCTTATAATAATGAAACAATGAAAAGAAACTTGACGTCCAGTCATAGAAATTAATTATTTAAATTACAGTAGTTTCATATCATGCAACATTATGAGGCCTTTGAAGATTATTCCATGAAAAATATGTGATAATATGAAAAGATAAACATGGTATATCTTATTCCAGAAAAGTTTGTTAAGATAATATTACCATTTAATCCAGTTTTGTTACTACAAAAGATGATATTTGCATAAAGAATGTGATAAAGCGATTAAGCCAAAACAAAATATTAGTAATGGCTATTTTTCAATAATACATATACAGATAAAATTTTTAAAACATTTCTTTTTTAAGTGCATGTTTTTTTAAATTTCTAAATAAAGAATTCATATTACAAGAAAATGTTTTTCAAAAAGAACTAGTTGGATAGCAAAAAGGTTTATATGTTTAGCTTTTTAAGACATAATTATTTGTTAATATAACACGTTTGTCACTTTTTTCATCATAAATATTCATGTGATTATTATAATTGCAGTAATTGTACACTATGTTATCCAGCTTCATAATATATTAACATACATCTTAAAATGTAATATTGAAACAATAAAGGAGCCAATGGAGATGCAGCATTACTTATTAACGACTGACCTCAATTAATTGAACATTGCAGGTGCTCCACAAGTATTGCATATTTTTATGTGTTTTTAACTTGGAAATAAATTTCTAATCCCCTGTCTCCTAAAAGAAGTGACTACAAAGGTTTCCAATTTCCTAGGTTTATTTTCTATTCACTTATATAACTGTGAGTATAGTTTTTAGACATGGCTTTGTATCTCAATGGCTCAGTGGATAGTGTCCCAAGCAATATGAAAATCATACATAAGACATGAAGACTTCTTATCCTGAGTAGGAAAACTGTATTTCATTTGGTGTGTTTGGATTTATGACTAATGTGCAGATACGGTGAAGGAGGAGGGAATGAGGATCGGGCAGGGTGACATCATGTAGCTATTAGTAAGCCATGGCCTTTTTGAATTTGAATGTTATGAAAGTAATGGGTTTTAAGTCTCAGAGTAATAAGATCATATTTATGTTCTAGTAATATTCTGGTTATAGCAAGGAGAATCCTTTGGTGACTGAACTAAAGCAAGTCTATTAGGCTAGTAAATAAATATAGCTTGAGATGATGGGACCCATTTAAGGCAAAATGGATTGAGGAAAGGATACTGATTTAAAAGAAATTACGAGGGATAATTATCTGCTTTTGCATTCTTCTGATATAAGGTATTGAAGGAGAAGTTTAGTAATGATTGCCAGCTTTCTTGCTTAGGTAAATAGCCTGAGTAGTTAGAAAAATTTCCCCTAGTCTAATTGTCTTATAAATATAATTTAAAAATAAGTTAGGGTTACATATCCTCTTGATTTTCTTTTGCACCTTTTCTAATACCAAGTGTATAAATTCCACCATCTACTTTATCCATGAAGAAAATCATAAAGTAGGCCA